ACCCAGCGCGACCCCAATTAGGGGAACGGTTCCTAAGCGGCGTTGCTTAGAATTGAAAAGTGGTGGCGGACAGTTTCCCGAGATTGCCGCGACACGATACCACAATATCCGAAACAAGGGCGGGGAGAACACGGCATCACGATATCACAAAATCCGAAACAAGGCTGGCGGTAACACGATATCACGATATCACGATATCCAAATCGGGGGCGGGGGGGACACGATATCACGAGACCACGATATGCCTATATCGCGATATCGTGATATCGTGCCCTCTTGCTTTGGGACATTGTAAGCCAGCAGAACGTGTGGAAATATTGGGGCGAGACCCACTGCCCACACGCGAAGCGCATCGTGTGGGAATTGGCTTTTCCCCACCAGTAATGGGTCGCGGGCGCCCAGGCCCTCCCCAAATCAGCACAACTTATAAAAATCCACCACGATGCCCTTGGGCACGGAGTGAGCGTGCCCGCAGGTCCGTCGCCCAAATCCTCTAAGCCTCAGCCCCCGCAAGCCTCACTCCTCATTCCTCCTCAGCCTCAGCCCATGAGCCTGAATCCTCTTTCCTGAAGATCCTTAAGAGGCCTGGAACCCAAATTTCCAAGTCTCCCGGGGGGGCCCGGCGGTCCGGCGCCGCTGGTCGCATGATTTTTTCGCAACCAAAAAGGCCCCAAGACGAGCCCGGAAGACCCCGAGAAGCCCCCGAGGCGGGCCAAGAAGGGCCCCCGATACCCAAAAACGGCCCCAGACGCCCACGACGGCCCCGAGACGGCCCGAAAAGCTTCCAAGACGGCCCAAGACGCCCCCAAGAGCCTCCCTTTGAGGGTCCCACGAAGCCGAATTCATTGATTTGCCTTCGGATGCGTTCTAAGCTTTTGGCATTCTCGCCTGATCGGTCCCCCTAAGCTCCGCGACGGCCAGAGGCCCCCAAAATCCCCCCAACGCGCTAAGTTTCCCCAGGAAGGCCCCAAGACAGCCCAAGAGGCGCCCAAGACGGCCCAGGAGGCCCCCAAGACCGCTCCCAGAAGGGGCCCCACAAAGACCACGAACCGACAACCCGAGCCGGCCGCCCCAAGAGGCCGCAGCAGCAGCGGCAGCAGCAGCGGCAGCAGGCAGCAGGCAGCAGGCAGAAAGGCAGCAGGCAGCAGGCAGACAGTTGCGGCGGCAGCAGCAGCAGCGGCAGGCAAGCAGGCAGGCAAGCAAGCACGCAGGGAGGCATGCAATCGATTGTTCGTCTTCGCGTCGTAGATAATGCGTCACTTGCTTTTCTCCCCCCGCGCGCACCACATCCCGCGCGCACGCTATACATCTATGCCCCTAGTTCAGCAAACTTGCGCTTCACAGCACAACGTGCTTCCCGACTGTGCTTCGCAAGCACTACCCCACATATCACGTAGTCTAGTTCCACCATGAACTTGGAACTCCACGTCTGCACGCTTGCTAGCCCTGCTGGCCGGCAGAATTCCACCGCCGACCCAATGCTGATGGAGACGGGCCAATCAGGCGCCAATCGCTTCCTGAAGTCGCCTAGCATTGTCAGCCTGCCCGACTCAGTCTTAGGCTCGGGAAGACCCCGGCATTGCGCGATCAAGGATGCGAACTTCCGCGCGTGTCCAGCTGCCTGGGTAATGTCGCGGCACTCCCAGGAGAAGACCGCGCCGAGGTATTCCGCCATGTTCTTCTTGTCGAAATCGTCACCCAGCACCACCTCGATAGCATAGATTGCCTCAGCTGAAAATTGCAAGAAACGCCCCCCAACTAACGCGACGGCACACTGCTGCTGAGCACGAACGCACGCCACATGGAAAGTCATGAGATGCACACGGCGCAGGAAGTGTTTCGGCTCTGCTAGCGCGAAAACAACCTCCTCAACCATACGTTGCCCCTGTAGCCACGGAACTACATGTCCTCACCGCTGCGAGTCCATTGATGCTCACCTATCGCAGCAATATATTATCCCGCGTGAACCGCTCACCACATGCCTTGCATTTGTCCATAGTAATGAGTCCTCCCGAACTCCGAATCCAAGGCAGGTGGTTCTTCGCAACAGTGCAATTTCTGGCCCAGGATCAACGGCGCGAGGGAAAGACCAATCATATCCTGGTGCATAGCCTCCTCGATGATACTCCTCTGATACAAGTACTGGGACAAGTCATCATGCCACATCGGCACATCGCGCCCATGGGTAATACCGTTTGCATATCGCAAGGAATAGAGGCGGTGCTCCCGGCGCTGAACGCATTTTACCACATTGCGCCTGCCCCGAAAGCGCGTTGAACCTGCTGCGAAAGAGCCGAAATCGCAACTTCTCCATCATGAGATTCGGGTCTTCCCGAAGGCGCGCCGCCCCCATGTCCGCCCACGACGCCACCCACAACTTCTCGAAAATATCTCCCGCGCGACCATACGCGGTCTAGAGTCAACACGGGTTCACTTCCGTTGCTCCGACCACGACGCGCACGCTGCCATCACGCGCATCCGTGGACGGCCGCCCCTCCGCCTTCAGCTTGCGGAGTCGCGACCGGATCTCCCCGCCATCAAGCAGTTTGGCAAGGGGGGGCCCTTCATTCCAAGCAGCGCGCAAGGGCAGGCGCGCCCTCGGCAACACTGCAGACGCGAGCAGCGGCCGGCCCGCCTCTGCCATGGCTCGAAGAAGCGGGAGCCACGAAACACCTGGGGGTTCAGCCAAAATGGATGCGGAATAGATTTGTCCCATAATCATCACGTCGACACGTCCGAGGCCAAGTTGCACCAAAGGCTGCCCGCGAATCCCCGTCAGATTCGCGCAGAGTGGATTCGGTATCACATCGACCAACCACTCTGCACAAAGGAAGAAGCAACGCTGGAATAATAAGATATGAATGCATTTGGAGGTCAATATGTTCTGTTGTTGTTCGCCTCGCCAATGCGGCCTCTGCGCGACGATGGGGCCCTATAAACGCGACCCGGGGGCGCAAAGTTCTCCGGGCGCGCGACGAGCGCCGCGCATGCAACGCACATCATTGCACGATTCGCCCGCGGGAAAGCTCGTCGCCGTCGAGGCGCACTGACACACTAGCGATTGCAAGTGGCACGCGAAACAAACCTGCGACATGACCTAGCAAGCTCTTGGCGCGAGCTCTGGCGGCCGCCGCGGATTACCCAACAGCTTCCACGCCGGGCAAGGGAAGAGGAGCGAGGGGGGAGAAAGGGGAAGGAAAAAGCAAAAGGCGCGCGACGTCCAGGCGCGGTTTATGAACCCCGCGGGCCTTCTCGGCCGCGAAAAAACAGAAACCAGCAATGCGCTATGCAACGCGCGACTGAACGCGGCGCCTGAAGCGGCCGAAACTGCAAACAACCAAAGAAGCGAAGGACAAAGGGAGGAGGAGGAAGAGGAGGAGAAGGAGGAGGAGGAGGGGGGAGCCAATGGACACCAGCAATCCAACGAACGTCTACTAGACATTCGCGCGCGAAAACCAAACACCCCAAGCTCTGCCAGGGCCGGCCCCCGCAGCGATGCCCCACGCGATCCACATTCACTCGAATGCTCCGCGACCTAACCCCAGTCGGGCCGCCTCTGCCGCCGCGGCAGGGTCGCCCAAAACCGTTGCCCAATCCAGCTTGTTATGCCGATCGACTTTTCGGCCGGGCTTCTCGGCGAGTTTCCTTTCGCCCTTCTAATCGCCTTGTCGCCGCAAGAAACCACTGGCTGCTAGCTCCCCCGCGATCTGCTTGATCTTCTCGGCGAGTTCCTGAGCTCCTCTGACTCGCCCAAGCACCAGCCACGCACGGCACCCGCAGATTTCGCCTCGCCTGAAGTCCACTTCGCGCTCGTCATGACGGCTACCCCCATTGCGTCGCCAATGGACAAGGTCTTCTTAGGGCCCTCGTCAGGGCGAGGTGCGCCCGCCAATAATGTGGCAATTGAACCTCCCACGCGGCCTTGCCCATTGGTACTGGCCTTATCTGCCACGCCACTCCAAGATCTGCAAAAGCCGGCGCGAAGCGAGACTTGCTGAAGACACGCACGCATGCCCGCCATCATCCCCCAAGAGTTCGCGGCAAAGCCTTTGGTCTCAAAGAGGGGGCCGCCGCCTTGGGAAAGCGGGTGCAAATCCCTCAGATATTGCGCACAGCGCATAGCAAAGTGGCCGAAATGGCGGAGGTCTGTGAATGCAAAGCCAAGCTTCCCCAAGAAGAATTGGTCAACCTCTTCACCGTCGGCAGCCTTCTCGTCGATCCGTTCATCTATGGCCGCGCGGCCTTCCCTGGACATTGCCACGGCACGAGAATCGAAGTGGAAATGAACAAGCGTGGAAAAAGGTTCAATCAACATCCGATCATGGATACCTTGCCAAAGCCCCATGGCCACTTCCGGCGGCGCATCCTCGCCTGTGGAATTTGCGCCTGGCGAGACAGAGCAGCTGATTCTCTTTTGCCGGCAATTTTTCAACGGGCGCCACACCCATTCGCAAGCGGCGCTTTGGCCGAACGCTTCGAGCTGAAAGGCATAGGCCCTTAAGTGAATGGTTCACTGAGCGGTCACAGTGTCATCTTGCCCCCCATGCGCCCATGCGTCGAGCTTCGATCGCGCCAAATAATCAAATTCACGCAAGCCCCTGCCTGTTTCGCATCGCCCCAGAGCGTTGCGAAAGTGATGTTTCTATCTGCTTTGCTGACGCCGGGGGGGGGCTGGGCGCATGCGACCCATTTCTGGCGGGGGAAAGCTATTCTCACACGATGCGCCCGCGCGTGGGAATTGGGTTTCGTCCCCAAGATTTTCCCACCGTTCGCGGTTTTACAAGCCCCTACCTGTCTCGCATCGCCCCAAGGCGTTGCGACGGCATTCACCACCTTATCCGTCGTGGCCGAGCTGCGATCCTGGCTCACGAAGCCAGCGCGCACCCGTTTTAATTCAGCGGTGAGCTCGCGCGCAGTGAACCCTAGCCGCGCAGGAGCACGGCAATCGACGGGGGGACTGAGCGGACGACGCGCAACTCCTGAACCTCGCTGACGCAACTTCAGTGGGGAGTCGGCATCGACACCGACGCGGTCGACCCTGGCCGCTGCGACGCTTCCACGATGTCGTCTGGCATGAAGTCGTCCGCGGCGCCCCCCTGGACTTCCCCCGGCGCCCCCACGTTGGCCTCGGCGGCCCACTCGACTGCGAACTTTTCCAACGCCGCTTCACGCGGCTCAAGGTCGCGCGCGGGCCAGCCCAAGCGACGCGCAACCTTTGCCCGAAGATCTTTCACCGATGTTGCAGAAGGGTCGCTGTTTCTCATGACGGCCCCGACTGCTTGAGACAGCATTTCGTGGGCCGCGGGGACTTCTGGCGCCATCTCTTCTGGTTGCACGCTTGGCTGCGGAATGACATATTGGCCCCCCCGAAGCCCTCGCCCTCGTCCTGCTCGCGCTGCCTTGCGGCCCCCGCCTCGAGAGGCTGCTTTGCCTCGCCCTCGGCCGCCGCCTTGAGCTTGCCTTGATTGAGCCGGCGGCAACTGGCTGGGCCCCCTGGCGGCCCGCTGCGCCATCGCCCTCTTCGCATGCCGGCTGCCCCGCGCGCCGCTCAACGACATTCATCCTCTCCGGCGGCGGGTCTGCCCCCAGCCACGGCCAATTGTGCCCCCGCCGTGCAACATGTGAAGCAACGGCCAGGATGAACGTCTCAACGCGCACGCCGCGATTGAGGCAAATCGGCCGAGCGGCCTTGTTCAATGGCCACGGAAGAGTCTCATCGGTCGAGAAAGCCACATCACGCGCCAGCCCCATGGGTCTTTTGGCGGGCGTGGATTTTGCCAAGCGCCTCTCGAACGAAGTTTCTCACGCACTTATCATCATTTACACCTTCGAAAAACCTGTGATGACACATCGCCACGAAGAACTGCGAGCGCGACTGACTGTTCTTCAATCCGCGCAGAAACTCCCGCGCGGGGTCTCCCCTACTAGACCCAGCCGCTCGAGGCCACACACCAGCGGAGGCAATGCAGAAAGCTTCGTCTTTGAGCACAGAGGAATCGGCGGCGGCCGCGCGAGGGCCGCGACTGGTCTTGCGGCCCAGCGTCTGCCGCCACCCCAGCGGAGACGCGGCGGGAACTTCGACTCCCTGGTCATCCTCTCCGAGGCGGACCATGGCCACGGCGATCAGCAGCAGCCTCACCCTCCGCCCCGGCGGAAGCTGAACTGTCTTGTGGTTCGGCGTCCGCCACCACCCCCCGGGGGAGGCGGCGCGGGCTCCCGCTGCGGCCCACGCGGCCACGACGACCAACGATGGCAGCACCAATCGCCCCCTCTGGTCGCGACTCCGCTGTCTCGGGCATCTCGCTGTCTTGGCGCTCAGCGTTCACAGCGGCACCCTCCTCGGCGCGCCCCCCCACCGCCCCTGCAGGCCACCCCATGCCTGCATGATCCTCGCTTTCAAGAAATAAATAAGAATGCATCCACATGGATGTTAGCGCACCCATCACAGACCTCCGTCCGCAAATTATGTTCGGCTGCCGCGGAAGCATCAGCGATCCCCTGCCGCGCGATAACCAAAGAGAAAGCGCCGCGCAAACCATCGGCGTCTACGCAAACAGGGAGGCGTTGCACATGATCTCGCATCTGACGGCCTTTCGTTGCCCAAGCTTTGCATCGGCGCGCCATATTAACGATTTCTGACTCGATGGCGAATGCACGCCCCTCGGGGCCGCCATAGACATCCGGGTCGCGCTTCAACATGTCCCGCTTCCGCGGTTATTATTGGGCCATGCGGCTGTCGAACAACATGGCCCCGAGCTCCTCTGCGCCCGCGCTGCACTGAACGTCGCCGGCGGGCAAGACTGGCCCCCAATGACTCATGCGCCAATCTAGCTCAGCAACGGGCCCCCCGAAAGTCGCCGGCGTCAACATTAGCGGCCCCCCCTGCGGCACCCAATTCAAGATGTCGGGATCTTCCATGAAATTGGTGACGATCTCGACCCAGAAGTTCGCCCGCCAAGTCTAACCCCCACCACCACCGCGCAAGATCAGCGAGATGGGCCGCTCCAGAACACGCTGAGCCAAGAACAAATGGTAGAGCCCCCACTCGGCGGTTGCCCCACGCAACGTCCGGATCGAATTCAAGATGCCCCCCGCTACCTTCGGAGGCGCGAAAGTGGCGGGAATCTCTGGGCCAGGCCCAACTCCCACGCGCGAGCGCATCGTGCGAGAAGTAGCTTTTCCCGAACATAATTTGCAGAATTTGCCGCAGATCCAAGGCTGCTGGCCTCGGGCCCTGTCAAACCTGAAAGCCTGAGCTCCTTCTGCAAAAATGCTGGCCAGAAGCCGGCCTCGCCCACCACTCATGCACCTCCGAGACCTTGTCGCCGCGACCCCCCTCGGGCAACGTCGTTGCTTCGTCGGCAACCTCCACGGGGATCACGTGGGCGACCAGGAGGCATGGGCCGACATCGCAGACGCGCAACCACGCGGCCGGCGCCAGACAGCGGGCGGCCAGACCGGGACTGAGCCAAACAGGCTACCGAAGGGGCAGGCGACTATTACCGCCACTACTACTGCCGAATCATGTTTACACAGCCTACACTGCAGCTTCATTTACGGCGGGCGAGCGGCGACCGCGCCGAATACAAAGGCAAGATTACTACGAACAGATACAAGCCGACATACTGCGAGCGCGCACCAGAAGCAAGGTCGAGCCTCAGCTGGCCCATCCTCTCCTCTGCTGGCTGCTACCTGACAGCTGATGTCACTGGAGAGATACCTGCAAAGCACGCGCGCCCCCGTCGCCTACTTCCGAAGCGCGGAGCGAGCGCGCGATGGCAGCAAATGAACCGACCCCCCCCCCGCTTATCAGAACGCCTCCCTCGCAGAAACCAGGCAGAGATCGATGACTAAAGTGCCAGTAGTTATAGCGCGCGAGGGAGAGCTGCAGCAACGCGCCCAACCATGGCCGCGTTCTTCGACAGGTGGCGGCGGGCAAGAATGACTCAATCGCTCTCCGACGGCCCTCGACGGACACGGGGCCAGCTTGCATCGGCGCGCCCGCTCGCCGAGGCGCCCCCGCCATCAGCCGGCAGACCCTAAGACGCTCAAGCTTCTTCTTGCCTTGCATCCGTCGCAGAAACGCCTTGACTTTTTCCGGTGCCAAGAGGGCCCCGAGACGGCCCCAAGGCCCCCGAGGCGGGCCAGGAGGGGCCCCAGACGCCCAAACATCGGCCCCAGACGCCCACGACGGCCCCGAGACGGCCCGAGAAGCCTCCAGGACGGCCCAGGACGCCCCCAATCGCCGAGATCTTTGGTTACTTTTTGTCTTCTAAATTGTCGGCGCCCTCGCCTCATCGGCCCCCCCGAGCTCCGCGACTGCCAACGAGGCCCCCCAGACCGCCCCAAGATAGCCCATGCGCCCCCACAAGCGTCCCAAGTCTCCCCGAGAAGGTCCCAATACGACCCAAGAGGCGCCCAGGGCGGCCCGAGAGGCCGCCAAGACGGCCCCCGGAGGGGCCCCGCAAAGACCGCGAGCTGACAATCCGAGCCGACCGCCCCAGGTGGCCGCAGCAGCACAGGCAGCAGCAGCGCCGGCAGGCAGCTGGCAGCGAGCACCAAGCGGCAGGCAGGCAGTCGCGGCGGCAGCAGCAGCAGCGGCACGCAAGCAGGCAGGCAAGCAAGCACGCAGGGAGGCATGCAATCGAATGTTCGTTGTTTCGCGTCGCAAACAATGCGTCACTCGCTCGTCCTTACACTGTTTGTAAAATTGTCCATCGAAGGGCCGACGACGACGACGACTACAACAACTAATACTACTACTACTACTACTATTACTACTACTACTACTACTACTACTACTACGACTACTACTACTACTACTACTACTACTACTACTACTACTACTATCACTACTACTACTTCTACGACTATTACTACTACTACTACTACTACTACTACTACTACCACTACCACTACTACTACTACTACTACTACTACTACTACTACTACTACTATTATACTACTGCTACTACTACTACTACTACTACTACTACTACTACTCTACTACTAATACTACTACTACTACTACTACTACTACTACTACTACTACTACTACTACTACTACTACTATTACTACTACTACTACTACTACTACTGTACTACTACTACGACTGCCGAATCAAATTGCACGGCCTGCAGCGCAGCGTCACCCACGGCCGGGCGAGCGGCGATCGCGCCGAATTCAAAAGCAAGATTATAAAAGAGGCAATACAATCCGACAATCTGCGAGCGCGCATCAGAAGCAGGGTCGAACTTCAGCCGGCCCATCCGTTCCTCTGCCAGCTGCTACCTGACAGCTAAGTCACTGGAACGACGCCAGCAACGCACGCATGTCCCCGTCGCCATCTTCTTCGGAAGCGAGAAACGAGCGCGCGACGGCAGCACATGAATCGATCCCGTCGACGATCGGAACGTCTCCTTCGCGGAAACCGGGCAGAGATCCCGGGTTAAAGTGCACGTAGAAGTAGCGCGAGAAAGAGAGCTTGCGCAGCGCGCCCAGCCAAGGCCGCGCCATTCGACGGGCGGCGGCGGGAGAGAATGACTCAATCGCACCCCAAAGGCGCTCGACGGGCACGGCGCCTCGCGGAAGTGCCCCCCCAATCAGCCGCCAGACCTCAGACGTTCCAGCTTCTTCTGCATTGCATCCATCGTAGAAAAGTCTTGACTTTGCGCGCGCACGACGCTGCCCCCCCTCAGCTGGTCTGGCGCGTTTGGGCTGCGTCGCACGCCGCGCCCCCGGCGACGCAAACGGCAGCCTGTTTTATACCACAACCACAGATTGTTCACAGCCGAACGGAACTCCGCTCCATTCTGGCAGTCCCATCGTCGACATGGCGGCGGCACGGCTACTCCGAGAAGGCGGCATGCGCGCGCGATTGCGCCACGCGTTGGGGGCGCACCGAACCCCCCCCGCCCCCCGCCATGCATCGGAGCGCCGCGCGCCGTCACGCGCCAATAACGCTCTCAACGCTGCGGCGATGTCGGCGTTGAGTCGGCGCGCTCGCCGCGTATCTTTGGACGGCGACGTCACCGCAGCCCGCAGAAGATCACGCGCACCACGCGGCGGAGGCGTCGGCATGGACGTCGCGCGATGCTCTTTGGGCAGTGGCTCCAGCAACGGCCCATCCACTACGTCTGTAAAGTCAGCCACGATGTTCTGCGCATCATTTAACGTGGGTGATGAGCTTCCGGACCCCGATGACGCAATGTCACGCCCCCCCCCCGCTATCACGAAAGCATCCTCGACCCGCGACTGCGGCAAGGCAATGTGCTTCCGAGCCACCCCCTTCCGGGTGTCCGCACAGGCGGCCAAACGTAATGCCCCCCAGAGGGCAGCGTAGAGCTTTCTTCATCCGGGCACGCGAAGACGGCAGGAGTCCGCGGCGTGGAACACTGGTAGCGATTCAAGGAGGGTGTATCCGCATTCCGTACGAATACCCCTCACAGCTTCCAATAAGACACGTAGGACCTCCTTGATATGCGCCCACCCTACCGAAGGAAGAATGGAGGGGACATCCTATAAACGACCATCCGTTCCGCGCAGTCCACGTACGACGGCGTCTTTGGTACAACCTGGAACGCGCGCCAAAATTTGCGCAAATCCCACCAGCCCTTTAGGGCGTCGGTGGTTTAACGAGTTTCCTCTTCCATCCCTCCTTCTTCCCCTTCGGGGAGGGGTTTACCCCTCCCCCTACCCCCTCCCCACTGACCTGGACAGGGGGGGCCGCGATCGGTCAGAGCGTCCAAGATCGACCCCTGGGAGGGCTAAAATTCGACACCCCTCACGAGGATCGTGGCTCCTGAGGGGGGGGCTGAAATTTAGGACCCCCCCTTCGTTGATCGATCTCCTCCAAGATGGCTCCGAGAGACGTCTTGGACCCCCTCTCGGGCCCTGCGCGCGGGCGGGCGGAGCGCCGCCCGCCCGCCCGCAAGGCCCAAGAGCCCACCAAAACGTTCGAAGATACTTTCAAGACGCCACCAGGGAAGAGGAAGATGAGGAGGAAGAGGAGGAGGAGGAGGAGGAGGAGGAGGAGGAGGAGGAGCAGGAGGTGAGGGAGGAGGAGGAGAAGAGGAGGAGGAGAAGGCGGAGGAGGAGGAAGAGGGGGAGGAGAACAGCTGCCGATCATCGGCGCTCTTCGTTCGAGCGCCTGGTGTAGGATGGGCTGGTGGGGATACGCGAAGCGTCAAGAATTTGTAATTGCCGTCCACGCAGATGCCCTGAGAATTAAAGGCGAGCTGCCTATGACGCATTATGCGCACACTGGCGTTGAGGAATCCATCGAAGGCGCGCCAGATGACTGCGCGGAGTGCTCGATTTCTAGGCAACGCATTAACCACCCTAGCGAAGCTGTACTGCCACTCATTCCTTGCCCGCCGAGCCCCGGACGCGAGCGCGCCCACTGAGTGCAATGCGCCGATGTGGCGCCGGAAGGCACGCGCATTGAACGCTTCACAGAAGAACTGAATGATTTGGAAGAAGAATACAAGTGTCATCCAAACAGGAGCTGCGCGACGGACGCGGGTGACAATAGCATGGGGGAACGCCTTGCGCACATCCTCGTCTGTCACATTCCAGTACCGTTTCCCTCCTCCACGGCGCCCACAGCGGTTGATGTTGGTGCGTGAGGATTGCCCGCTGCGCAAATCAGCGCGCACCATGTCCATGTCTTCATCACTACTTTTTTTCTCTCCTCTGCCCAAATCTGCGACGAGCATTTCGCCATCGGTGCTGCCGTCCACGTCAACCGGGCCACCTTCGTCGCCCCTGTGCGCATTGTCGTAACATGTTTTTCACACGTGAAGGCGGGCCTCGTACTCCAAAGGTCTTGGCAGGTCTAAAATGTAATGAAGGCCCGTGTGTCTGTTCACTGGTGCGATGTGGCGCGGTCTTCCCCATAAGGCTGTCTCTTGCACGTGGTGCAAGGCTCCACTCGGGATAATTCGTTTGGGAATCAAATCCCGCGGCAAACGATCGGGAGCCACACCTCCCTCCCGTAATGTAATGATCACCGCAGGCCCGATGGGAGACAGTGCATCTGGACAAGCACTGGCGTCGACTCTGTCCAACTGCGCACCACCATGCGGCCCGATCCGGGCGATAAACTCGCACCTCACTTTGGTAAGTGCATCAGCGGGCACGCTCCACGCCTTCCCCAAAACATAATCGGTTGAAGACTTCGATGATGAAAGGATATGCGCGGTGTGAGCGTATGGCCTCTTACGCCTAGAGAAAGTGTCCAAGATGTAGACGGGCGCGCCCATGCAATCAGCCCGATGTCCCCTGGCCGGCCGCCGGGCACCGAGGCACGACCTCTAGGGCATCAAAGTGAAGCAATCTCGTTCCTGCTAGCTGTAAGGACGCATCGACGGTTCGACCACACATTAGTCCCCGCGGAAGGGATTCCGCATCCACCATAGCATCCGCAGCATATCCATCGAATGCTGGAGCCCAGCCGATGCCCTCCATTCTTCGCTTCTTTGGAGGTGCAGGGGATGCCTGGTCGGTGGCAGGGGCTGCTCGACGTTCTGCACGAGGGAGCCGCACGTCCCATCTCCGCTTC